GGACACCCTGAGAGTCAGTTGGGTAGAAAACATCATGAGTGAGGCAGCACAAGAGTCGGGGAGACGGATCCAGATGTTGCTCTGGAACGCCCCGCACCTCCATCAGGCACACATGCCTTACAGTGCACAGACATATCCTTTAATGAGATCACGTCTTGATTAGCAAACCTCACAGCCCACAAAGACAGATGGAATGAAGGCAGTCACATTCAACTGACAAACCACAAAGTAGTGCGTGTGTAGTCCCATCACCAGAGTGTTCACCTGGCTCTCCTTTAAACAGTAAGTTAAATTTACTCATTTATGTTATGACTTGGTTTACAAGTGTATATTGTAGCTACTAGTGGTGACTCAATGTCTCCTGATTGTTTTCATTGAGCAGAGATTTGTTCTTAATTTTCCATCTTAACTCATGGAAGGCACCTTCCTACAATTCTCCTTCATTTCTTTGATGGGTGACACCCTGTATTTTGAGAAACACAGAATGTTCCAGGAAAATAGGGGAAAATTTTTAAAGGAGAAGCAAACAAATGAGCAGAATTATTACAAAGTGATTGGCCTCATTTCCTAAAGGCAGGTTTTGAATCTATCTTCATGAATTCATTCTCAATCTTAGAATTAATGATACAATAGACAATAATAATAAAGAATTACAATAACAGTGGCTAATCTTCATTCATTCAGTCAATAGTTATTGAAGGCCTACAAAAGTCAAGGTGCTTAATTGTTAATTCTTACCACCCTGCAAAGTACGTGTAAGTTTTCCCATTTATATAAGTGAGGAAATTGTGGTCGTCAAGTAACATATCAACATCATGCAGTCAGTACATGGAGGAGCTGGGTTTTAATCCCAGGATTATTTGATTACAAAGCTCTGACTCTTTTAATTGTGCTGTGATACTATTCAGTTACTCTGTGACTCTCACATAATTCTTATAACTCACATAATTCACAGTTTGTAGTTTTGTGGCTTTGCTTGTCCTCTTTATATCTTGAACCTGAGAGACAGGCTAAAAATGCTCCCTTCAATTTAGGCTCATTCCAGAACGATCCTTGCAACATCAGAAAGAAAGATAACTTATTTTCCATCTATACTTTAGATTGAGATCTTTCCTCTACTGCCCTCACTTCCTATACTATACACCTCCATGAAGTATTCTAAAGAATTATTTGCCAATAAATTGTCATTTGATGAAAGCTTAAGGTGGTAGTTTTTTAATCTCCATTTTTATACAAGAATCTTAAAGATTAAATAGCTATCAAACACTGAAGTAACAAATCAGGTGGCAGAATTTCAAATACTGTACAGGTTAGCTTCAAATATGTTTTATAGCAGAAGACCTTTGCAATGCCTCTGAAATCACACTACCTGGATGGCCATCTTTTCTAAATGTGCATAAAGTCAACACATACCCCTGAAGACACGAACAGCCCATCGGCTCTGGAGTTCTGATGTGGGAATGGTGGCTCCCAGTGGTTGGAGGATGCCAATGATAGCTAGTGTTGGTTTCTCTAGCTGAGGAGGGAAGACAAATTTAAACATGGAGCACTGGCTGTCCAGAACTGCTGAATCATTTTCCAAAAAGGGGAAAGAGAAAGTATATCCTGTGGCGAAGACAACAACATCAAGGTCCTCTTCTGTGCCATCTTCAAAGATGGCCGATGTCTCCGTGAACTCTCTAACATTTGGTTTTATCAGAACTCTTCCAGAAATTAGGCGGTTGGGTAGATCATCACCGAAAGTAACTTGATGGCTTAGAAAGCTGAAGAATAAAAATTGAAATTCAGGAAAATTAATATAAATCTTTTCGGAGAGGAATTGAGCTAAGAAAATACTTAAAATACTTTTTAGTTGAGCCAGAAAAATGAAAGACCTACATTTTTGTTTTATAAAAGATTTCTTTTCCTCATAACCTTTTCCGAATTATTTACTAAATAAACATTCTGTATTTATCAGAATGCCAATAATATTTATTTAATGCTTACTATATGCAAAGAGAAGATTTTGAAATGTGGTATATAAGTTTATGCCAGTGACATATTGATATCTAACTTTTTAAAAATAATTTTATGGGGAGAGGTTTTTAAAAGAAATTGACAAAGTGTTCATATTGGAACAGGAAAATCAGATTATACCTGATTTGCATTTTATTTTGAGAACCTACCTACCATTTTTATAAATTTTGTAAACATTATTTGATTTTAACACTGTTAGTAGCCTGCTTTTTTCCACCCTTGACTTCCTACAATTTCTCCTATACTTAGCAGCCTGAATGATCCTTTTAAAATGTAAAATTATTCCCCAATGGGTTTCTATTTCCACCAAAATAAAATTCAAGGTTATTACTATGCTCTAGTCCTAAAAATCCGTATGATCTGGCCCCTGCCATAATATATCAGAACCCTGCTTGATCATAGTAGGAACTCAAAAATATTCATTAAATTTATCTAAGCTGTACAGATAGTCAATTTTATGTGTTTCCGATGTATATCTCACAACAGATAGGCAGATAGGGATTGCATTTTAACAACATAAAAAAAGAAAGAGAAAATACATAACTACCCCAAGATCTTATGGCAGGTAAATACCAGAAATTTATTAAGACTGGGCTGGTGATGGCAGATCCAGTGTTTTTTCTGTGTATAGGTAGATACGTACATATACATATATATATATAACTAAAATATCTTTTTTTATCAATGAAGGCAAAATAAATTTATCATCCACGATTTTAATAAAATATTTTAACTAAAATATATTTATATTCTTTATACTTGGGTGAATATATATTCAACTAAAGAGAAAATAGTTTTCTTTATCTTTCCTAACATTTTAAGCAAAGCTTTATTCTATTAACACCATGTTTGTATTAATCGTATGATGTTTATGTTTATATTTGTCCCATAGTTTACGCTTCCACTTCATGGGTGTTGCCTACTAGTTTTTATTCAGGTATTCAGTGAAGTCCAGTCATCCTCCTCACACCCATGATATCTGCACATTTCTACTATGTCTTCAAGTGGCAGACCTTCAGTCCACCTTCATCATTTTCACTGTCTTTCTCAGATATTTCTGGTTCCATTATGTATTACTTGAGGTTCAACGTCCAAAATAGACCACTCACATTTCAGATGCAGACAAATCATGTTTTCATAGAAAAGTTGGGTAATCTTCCTGTACTTATTTCCAGCAGACATCCTATTGAGTCTTAGCACTTTTGAGTTTTGGGGCATGGGAGTTGATAGATTCATTCTTTTAATTCACATACTTACTACCCATGTAAAAAGGAGCACACAGAAGGGCTCAGATAATATTTGTTGGCTTACTACTCTCAACACTGTTGACCATTCCCTTCCTGAAATTTTCTCCTTCCTATTTCCCTGTCCTCGTTACAAATTCTCCTACTTCTCTGCCTATACTTTCTTTCTCAGTGTTTCTAATGGCTACTCTTCTTCAGCTTTTCCTTTAACATTTGGGATCCCTTAGCTTCTGATCTAGACCTTCTTTTTTTCCCCCTAGATCATTGTTTCTTAAGCCAGCATGGGATGGGGAGCGAGTTCATGCAGGCATGTGTGTGTGCGTGCAAGGGAGAATACCAGAAGTGTCTGTTCAAACTTCACCAGTCTCCCTCCTCCCAATTCTGACAGTCACACCCTCCACCACTGAGACTCTGATATACCTCGCCAGGGCTGATGATTCCAAGTCTAACCTCTACTTTGAGTTTCAGAATCATCTATCCCAATGCCTGTCGTGTATCTCTGTTGGCATACCTCACAAGTATCCCAAATACAGATTTCTAAAGTTTAAATCATCAACCAGCCTCCCCATACCTTCCAAAGTTGCTTTGCTTCTGAATTCCTTAGCTTTATAGGATGGTACACTCTCTACTCAGTCATTCAAGCTAGAAACTGGATGTCAGTGTATAATTATGTTTTTTATTTTCTGTATTTTTTGATGTTTCGACATCTTAAAAAGCTTGCTGGCTGGGGAGAGGCTGCCCCTCTCAGGGCTAGCCAATTCTTAGAGATAGCAAAGGGCTCTGCCAGGAGCAAACCAGCCAATCCCAGTCCATTGCCCCAACCAACTCCTTATCTAATTCTCACACACCAAGCCAGTATTTCCCCTGCCCTGAATCATCCCAGGCCAGGAACCAGGCAACTAGAGGCCACTCCACTAGGCCAAGCCAACCAAAATTATTCCAACTAGCCAATTCTAAACTGTTTACCCTGCCCTGCCTTTACCATGGAAACCCCACTAAAGGCTCTGGCCTCAGCTTTTTCCCTTGCCCCTCTTCTCTTTGACCAAACATGGTGCTCCTATGTGGCCCTGCATGGTCTGGCATGTCCCCTTCTCTCAGGAAATGTAAGTAATAAATTCTTCTTTCAATGGCATTACCTCTCCATGTCACCACTTACTCACCTCCATAAATTAAAATCCTATGACTATAATTTTAACACAGTCAGAAAACTAATTGTATAATAAAACAATGCAAATTCTTGAACGTTGACTATGTGCTGGCTACTAGTATAGGCTATACATGTAGTATTTTCCTCTTTAATGCTCACAACATTCCTCTGAGTTGGTGCTAATGTTATCCCTATTTTATATGTAAGGAAGGTGAGGGACAAACAGTTAATTAAATCTGACAGTATCACACAGCTAGTAAGTGATGAAGCCAGAATTCAAACCTCAGCTGTCTGGATCCAGAGTTCTAGTCAAGGCAAAGAAAGCATGTGTTGCATCTCAAAGGACTCCTCTCTCCCTGAAGTGTCCCATCTTATTGCTGGAATCTTACCAGATTCCTGATTCATTCTTTTAGCCTGGACAAATGGAGTTGATTTTTATGATATACTATACCACCCGCTGCTTGTCCACCATCTGAAACTCTCAGTCTAAAGAAGAGGTGAAGAGTAGCCTGAAAACATGAAGGGTGGGGACAGATGAAGCCGCCACCATCTCCTGAAATTCAATCACTTCCTCTAAGTGAGTGAGTACAATGGTGCAAAGAAACATGAGAAAGGAAATGATGATTAACATTCTCCTAAGATAGCTGAAGTCTATTTTCAAGGTAGTAAAACATGAACTGTAAACCACCCCTATGCTCCAAGGCTGACCTGCTGACTCCAAAAGGCAGAGGCAAAATTATTTTTTTTAAATCCTGGAACATACCTGTGTTGAGGTAGCAAACCATAAATGTCATGGTTAAATCGAGCGTTTAATCTATTCTCTCCCAATCTGTTGATTAAGAATGTAGGGTAAAATTTGTTGAGGACAGTGTTAAAACGAGTGGAGAGAACAGTGTCCATAGGCATCCCATAATCCCAGACTCGGCTCCAAATCCATGCACCCCGCCTTGTGCTGAGAAACACCTAGGAGAGAATGCAAATAATTGAAAAAGACATGCCTCACGATATAACAGTTTCCTTTCACAGCATCCTTTTCTCAGTTCTTCAGATAGCTCTCACTTGACTTATGAGGAGAAATGGATAAGAACTCTCTTGCCTTTTTACCATGAAGAGTTCCTCTGTTCTCAAAGACAGGTAGACCAACAGATACAGTCACACACAGTCAGACATCTGACTTGTTGCTTATAGCCCCAGAGATCTCCCCAAGCCTTCCTCTGGATTTCACTCACTATCCCTTTTGAGTCTTCTCCAAAGTAGTGTTTGATGCCTGCAATCTCTTAAATTCCAAATTTTGGAAAAACACAATGATGCAAGAAACTAGAGCTCAACAAATTGACGCATAAGATTCCGTCCATCTGCTAATTACAGTATTACAATATCTGGAACACTTAGTTAATCTGTATCTCTAGAAATCTAAATATAGAAGGAATCAGAGTCGGGAGATAGAGTAAAGCGTCATGTTAATGAAAAATGAAGGGATTCAATAAATGGTTTTCTGGTATGTTCATTTCTTTAATTCTTGGCTGAGCTAATGAAGCCTCCACACTCTGGTAAAAATAAACAATATGGCAGCCACTACAATTTGAAATATTTATTTTTATTCCATTCTCAATTTTTTTTGGAATGGATTACCAAGATGTCTCCTGAGAAAACTGGTGTGAAGAGGTAATTACAGTCAGTGTTGAGGCCGTGTGTGGATGCACACTACACACATTTCATGCGATTCTCACATCTCAGAGGGCAGTGGGCAGCTTGCGCTTCAGGAAAGAGAATTTTAGAAACCAAACCTGTGCAGCTACATGACTGAGCTCGATCGCCAAATCAGCTCCAGAATTTCCAATGCCGACCACAGCGATCTTCTTCCCCCTGAATTTCTCTGGGCTCTTGTATTCCCTACTGTGGATGTATTGACCTTTGAACCTCTTGATTCCTGTGGGCAAGAACAGAATTGCTCAAGCCTTGGCCATTACTTTATTTTATTTTGTTAACTGCTGGCATCTTCTAAAGCTTATTACTGAACTCAAAGGCCTATTTTAAATCCTATTTAAACCTCTCGTTTGCTGGCCTGCTGATGCTGGTCTGTGGACTATGCCTGTCTAACATTGTCAGACAGAATGAATCCTCCTAAAGTTTGGTTCTGGACCATAAATTCTATGGTCAAACAAATTCCTAAGGTTTCTGAGAAACTCCGGTATCTCATTTCTTCCTCCTTTTTACTTATGTATACCCTGGCAAGCCTTCAAAGAGGAGCTTGGCTCCTATTTAAGTCATACACCTTCCTTGTCTGTCATCCTTGTTATTTACAACCACTGTTGTGGACCCAATTCCCTGCCTTGCTTTCCCAACTCAAGCTGCATCTCTGTCTACCTTGTTTCCATCTCTTCCTGGGCCCAGTACACCCTTCCTGCTGTGCATTATTCACTCTGCTTTCCTACTGGGGACAAATGCTCCAACATCTCCCATGGGCTCTGAAGCTGAGAGGATGTAGCAACTTCCTATTTTTGCCTAAAAATTTGCTCTGACTAAAACAGAAACCTTCTATGGCAAAGCTATAAAAGCTGGTTGATTTTGCAACATTTCATCTTTTAAACCACATAGGGGCCTGCACATATGGCTTTGTTTGCTCCTACTCCGACGATGGACAGCTCTACTCAGTCCTGATTCTGGTTCAGTCTTTGCCCTGTTCTTTTTTCTCTACAGAATCTGCTCCAAAACTTCAGCTTTGCCCTGGAGGTTGTTCTTCGATCCTCACCTAGTGAACTCCCGGCATGGATCTAATTGTTTCCAATCACCATCCTGGCCAAATTCAATTGTCCATCAAATTTCCGACTGCAGCTATTTCAATGGAAATATGGAAATCATTTAACCTAGCTCATAGGAATGATATAAGGATCCCTTAAAATTGCTTAAATTCCTACTTAATCCCTTAAAAGTACTTCCTATGACATAGTAAGTACTTGAAAAATAAGTTAAATGGTCTTCTTTGAATGTGTTCAATCCCCCACATCCTCTCCCATTTTCAATGAACATCACGACCTTGTCACCTTGTGGCCTCCTCAATCTTCCTCCCTCATACGGGCAGAATCAGCTCTTCCTGCAGCCTTCCCTATCCCAGGAAATGGCAACTTTATGGCTCGGGCTGACAACATGAGAGTTATCCTTGACGTCTCTCTTTTTATCACATCTCATTTCTGGTCCATCAGCAAATTCTGTCATCTCCTTGTTCAAACTATATTCAGGATCCAAGCACCTCTTTATATCTCTACTGCCACCATCCTGATCCAAACCACCAAGATTTCTCACCTGAATTAGTGCAAATCCTCCCCGCTACGGTCTCCCTGCTTCCACGTTTCTCACCTCCTTCCCCAACTATTCTCAACACAGTAGCTAAAGTGATTGGAGCATGCCACTCCTCTGCTCACAATCTCCCAACAGCTCCCATTTCACTCAAAGTCAAAGCCAGAGTCCAAACAATGGCCT